AAGTGCAGCCCTTTCACTGAATCCAAACTTTGCTCATAGACCTTACAGTCTAGGAGGAGGATAAGATATAAACGCAGATACAAAAAGAATACATGATATTGTGTTGCATATGAAAAAATAAAAAAATCATACATGATAAATGCATGGAGTTTGTTCCTCCCTAAGGAAGAGTGTGAAAGAGTGTTAAAAATCAGTGAAGCCTTCTTGCAGTTAGGATTGTGAAAGATGGGTCAGGAATCCAGCAAGTGAAGAGGAGGAGGAAGGAATATTTCAGGAATATTACAAGCCCTCCAGTCTGGATTAGGTAGAGGTGAATACTGATGAAGTATAAGGGGGTTTGACTACCCTGATTAATACCCCTTGAAGGGATAAGGGTGGAAAAAAGGTACAGCGATGCCAAATTATGGAATGCCTTTAATGCCAATACCTTTTTTCAGGATGAGCCAATCACTAGCTACATCACTTAACCTCTGGGTGCCTCAGTTTTCTCATCTGTAAAATGAGGGAAATGAGCATGCCACTGATCAAAAGGTGCTGCTGGAGCACTAGACAAAGAGAGAAGATTGACTCACGCCCTCCTCATCGTAGAGGCCATGTGTCCCTGATGTGATATTTTCAGTTCCAAATTCTCTCTCTCCCTTCATCCATCAAGAAGGCAAGAACTATGATACCCATTGTACATATGAAGTCATGCAAAACATTTCCACATTAGCTATGGTGAAGAAGAAAAAGGAGGAGGAGGAAGAGGAGGAGAAGAAGGAGAAGGAGAAGAAAAAGGAGGAGGAGACAAGAGGAGAAGGAGGAGTAATAAAAAAAGAACATGCTTTTATCTGCACTCAGAGTCCATCAGTTCTCTCTCTCTGGAGGTGGATAGGATTTTTTGCCATGAGTCTTCCGGACCTGTCATGGATCATTGTATTGATCAGAGTAGCTAAGTCTTTCATAGTTGATTATTGTTACAATATTACTGTTACTGTGTACAATGTTCTCCTGAACAGGTAGTTTTCAAAGGAAGAAATAGAAGCTACCAATAATCATATTTTTAAAAATGTTTTAAATACCTAATAATTAGAGAAATGCAAATTCAAGAAACTTTGAAGTTCTGCAGACCAACAAAGATAACAAAAGACTAGAATGATGAATGGTTTAGAGCTTTGAAGTTGTCCAGCCACTCTGGAAAACAATTTAGAGCCCTACTTAGAAAATTATCAAACTGTATTTATGGGTTCATTGACCCAGCTATGCATGTGTACCACAAAATCAAAGAAAGAGGAAAAGGACCTATATGTGCCAAAACATTTAAGCAGCTCTTTTTGTAGTAGCCAAAAAGTTAGAAACAATTCAAGGGCATTCTCTTATTGGGGAACAGCTAAATAAATTGCAGTATATGAAAATAATGTTATTTTGCCATGAGAAGTGATGAAATGGATAATTTCAACAGAAAATGGGAAGAGCTTTATGAACTGATGCAGAGCAAAGTGAGCAGAACTAGGAAAAGAATTTACAACATTATGGAGAAAAATAACAAAAAAAAAAACCCTTTAGAATTAATAAAGGCAATAATAAGCCACAAGTCCAAAAGAATGAAGATGAAACACACCCCTCTTCTGAGAAGAAAGTGATGAACTTACGATGCAGAAGAAGATGTATTTATTTCAGACATAGCTAATAATAATAGCTGGCATTTAAGTACCGCTTTAAGGTTTGCAAAGTGCTTTAAATTATTATCTTATTATATTATTATTTGATCCTCACAACAACCCTGAGTTCACATTCAGCTTCAAACACTTACTAGTTATGTGACCGTTGGCAAGTCATTCTCTGTGCCTCAGTTTCTTTATCTGCAAAATGGGGTTAATAATAGAACCTACCTCCCAGGGTTGTGGTCAGCCCTGTGTCAGCAGACACTTCCAAGCAGCCTCTGGGGTAAAGGCCCAGGGAAGGTTAGAGCAGAAAGGCAGAAATGGCCAGCCAGTAAAAGAATTCCAGGAACTATGGCGGGAAAACCGAGATGACCCCACAAGTTATAGCCGGGCTTTCAACAAAACAACCTCCAATTCCAAATCCAAAGTCCCATAGGCAAACAATGGCCTAAAATTTTTCTGGATGACTTCTAACCAGGTTGGCAGTTAAATAGACCAAAAACCTATTGGAGGAGACATTTTTATTTTAAACTGAAATTCAAAGCCATCTTGAAGGTAGCTTTGAAAAGAAACACTATGAACTTCCTGGGGTTCCACTTTTCCCCAAAAACTCATGTTTCACTTTTATCGACACATAGAAAGCTAGAGTCTATGCTTAGGTCATAGGACAGCAAGGTGGCACAGTGGATAGAATGCCCTGCCTGGAATCAGTAAGACCTCAGTTCAAATCTGACCTCAGATTCTTACCAGCTGTGTGACTCTGTGCAAATTACTTATCTTTGCCCCAGTTTTGTCATCTCTAAAATGAGCTGGAGAAGGAAATGGTAAACCACTCCAGTATCTTTGCCAAGAAAAACCCAAAAGAGGTCCCTAGGACATGATTGAACAACAGAAAGCTAGTCCTGGGAGTTAGGTAGTGATCAGATCAAGAACTCAGTGAACAAAGTGATGTGAACTATTAGACTTTGTCTCTATACACTGGTTCCTTCATCTCATACTAGCATAAGAGACTTAGTTCTTCATGTAGCAGAAGTCTCTGCGTATGGCATATAGCCAGGAGGAGTACGGTGGAGTCCCTTCTAACCTGTTGGAAAGACCTAGTTGTTAAATCTTCAGTTCGAACATTTACACCTTGGAAGTTGCTACAAATTAGGGATTAATTTGTTTTGTTAATTGACTAGACTTAAGAAAGTGTTAACAATGGAGATTAAATTTAAAGGTTTGTTTGCATGCCTTCCTCTCCGCTCCTCCAGCCCTGTTGTTAAACATTTTACCACCACACTCCTGAACCTAGAAGGCAAAAAGATGTCATTTGAATAGAAGTAAGTAAAGTGGAAGGAGAGAGGATCTACCTCAGCAAATTCTGAAGACTAACATTGTCCCTGTGATCGTCTTCAAAATCTGCATTGAGTATTTTTCAGGCACTTGAACAAACTGAAATTTCAATTTGGTCACGCTTAGTTTGGAGACCATTTTGATATTATATCTGTAGCAAGTGCTTCCATAATGGGTTTTTGAAGGACCAAGAGCCGAGTAAGTTTCTACAGAACTGGAGACAAACTACGAGAAGTGAGAATGTTCCCTCTTGCCTAGAAGAAAAAGAGTGTTTCTTCCTCTCTTCTTTCCTCTATCCTTAGATTTTAATTTGCCTGTAGCCAACAAAGAGATCAGGGAAGTGGCCAGTGGATGGGGAAAGCACCAAGACCAGGAAAAATGCTTCACTATAGCTGAAGTGTCCACAAAGTGAAACAACCAGAGGCTAGAGCCTGCCCATGGAGAAGAGACAAGGATAGGAATGTGAAGAAAGATCTCGACTTGCCAAACTGACAGCTGTTATAAATCCCACTGGGCTGGTGAGCTGATGAGAGATCATTCTCTAATTGCTTTCATCTGCTTCTAGACTCCTTCGATTCTGAGATTGTGGGGAAATATCTTGTTCCACTATTCTTTTCCATGAGCTGTGGGCATAAGATGCCAGCGGTCTCCTCTGGCCATACCTAGAGATCTGGGAGGACAAACAGGAAGAGGCTTCAGACATGGTTGTAGGCTGGTATCTCCAATGGAAATATTTGACCTTTTTCCTTTTCACTTTACATTGTGCACCGTAAGTCGTAGGAACACAATTTGTTAAGTTTCTGAATTTGTAAATGCAGGCAGTCAGGACTTGAAAGGAAGAGTGAGGGTACATTTGCCGTGTACAGACTTTAAGTGTTATATTTTAACATTCTAAGTAATATTCCATTTCATCTTTTGATTGCATTTTAGACCCATCCAGCAAGAGTTGATCCAAATGGTCCAGCAGAGGGGTGGGGAACCTGCGTCTTCAAGGCCATATGTGGCCCTCTAGGTCCTCAAGTGCAGCCCTTTGACTGAATCCAAACCTCACAGAATAAATCCCCTTAATAAAAGGACTTGTTCTGTAAAACTTGGACTTAGTCAAAAGGCTGCACCCGAGGACCTAGAAGGCCACATGTGACCTCGAGGCTGCATCTAGCATCACTGTTGAAGTCTCAGGCTTGGAGGTGGCGGGAGCAGTCCAGGTGTCTATAGACTATAGTAGTAGTATAGAGTACTAGTAATTGTATATACTTCTATTCAGTAGACTACATAGTCTATAGATTGCACTGTACACTGGCCAATAAGAACCCTTTAAGAAAGCTACCTCACATTTGCGTCAGAGAGAAACTGACAGAGCTACTGGATTGGGCACCTGAGTAGACCACCACCTGGTGGGAAATTCAAGTATTACATGCATTCACCAGAAAATTTCTGCATTGTTATGCCATCTTTCTGTAGGCTTAAGGAAGGTTTGATCTCAACGAGCTGATCTATAAGACACTTCCAAAAGACTCATGATGGGAAATGCTATCCACATCCAGAGAAAGAACTATGGAGTCTGAATGCAAATCCAAGCGTAGTGTTCTCTCTCTCTCTCTTTTTTTTTTTTTGGTTTTCTTTCTTCTTTCTCGTGGTTTTCCCCTTTGGTTCTAATTCTTCTTTACAACATGACTAATGTAATATATTGTACATCTAATGTCTATATCAGATTGCATGCCGTTTTGAGGAGGGGGGAGGCAAAAGAGAGCGAAAATTTAAAACTCAAAATCTTATAAAAGTGAAAGTTGAAAATTAAAAATAAATACATATTTTTTTAAATAAATGAGCTGATCTAGGCTGCCTATTGGAGGTGGGGGAGCTTCGGTTAAATTTGCAGTTCAAATAAAAATTCCTGTTTTGGCAGGTTAAAAGATTGGGGGCTTTTATCCACAAAGTTGATCTGTGCGATAACTTTTCCTTTATCTCTGTCATTTGTCATTTACTGAGGACTTCCAAGTCTCAACAAATGGAGTAACTTACTCTTAGGATGATTTTAGATTGTTTCGGCCACTTGAAATTCACAAAGATGCCAAAAGCCACAGGTACGAGTAAGCTTAAGAGAGTAATTCCTGAAGAAATGGAAAATATATCAGACCAAACCATTTCTGAAAACTTGACTTCTCTCTTCTCAATATCTATTTAACTAGATTAAAAAAAAAACCAGTCTTTAAAAGGCAATTTCATTCAGCATAACCAAGGAAATGAACATATTTAATGTGTGGTTTTTAAGGGAGTGAAGAACTCATTGCAATCCTTTATCCTTGCTGCAGAGCTGATATTGCAACTCTAGTCTTCTATCTCCAAATCCAGGCCTCTTTCCACCATACTACACATATGATTGTTTAAAGAACATTTTTTTTTTAAAAATCATATTTTTAAAGTTACTTTTTCCACTTGTAAGTTCTCCAAATCCAAAGCTTTATCATCTACAACCACCCACATGATTAAACATTTATGGAATGACTTCAAAATAAATATCACTAGACCAGCATATAGGATTTGGATCAAACCAGTCCCAGACATTAAGTGGTTTATACTTTATTTAACTCCTAAGGATACAAGCTTCAATAGGCCTACAGGACAAGGTTTCGGTGACTTTTTCCAAAACTATGATCAAATGATAAGGGGGAGAAAATCCTACCATGTCTCTTTCTTCCAAGAGAGGTCAGCAGGGAAAAAAGAGACCTAAGCGAATAATCACAGAGAAAGATAAAGGGAATCTGTATGGGAGCTGGGTGTTGAGGATGAGGAATGAATGACATCAAGGGATATTTATAGAATACAGGTGAACTTTAAAAATCTGTCCTTGGAGAAAATAAGAGTTATTCACTTCTGCAGACATTTATTTAGCATCTTCTATATTCAAGACATGAAGTACAATTTCAAAAGCAAAAGGACTTCAGAGAATTTACAGGGGGAAGCAACAAGTAAATGATAAGTAAATGAAAAGTAAATTGAGGGGGGAGGGAGCATTAACTAGGAAGATCAGAGAATGCTTCCCCAAGGATATAGTACCAGAGCTTAAATCTTTTTTTTTTTTTTTGTGAGGCAATCAGGGTTAAGTGACTTGCCCAGGGTCACACAGCTAGTAGGTAGAGCTTAAATCTTAAAGAAAGGAAAGAATTCTGGGATTCTGGGAGTCAGAGGTAAAGCATGGGGGATAGATGGCTTGTGTGAAAGCATTATTTGTTGTTGTTCATCCTTCATTCTCGAAGAGGACTAATGATATCATAGGTGAGACATGAAACAACCTCACCCACTTTGGCTGGAATGTAGTTTGTGAAGGGAAATAATATATAATTTGTCTGGAAAGGCAGGTCGGAGTCAGGTTATGGAAGACCTTTAATGCCAGGCTGAGAAGTTTTGAGCAGGGAGATGACATGCGTCATATCATACAAGATTATTTTGGCATCTGTGTGAAAGGTGGTTGGGGGAGAGAGTGTCGAGAGGCAAGGAAGGACTAATCCAGATGAGATGCAATGACAGCTTGAACTATAATAGTAACCATTGTAGTTCAGTGAGAAGAAAGGTATAAATGCAAACAGGAGACAGAATCACTGAGATTTGATCGTTGGGATGTGGGAGGTGAGGTAGTCCAAAGATTCAGAGATGATTACTAACATGGGTGACTGACAGGATGGCCATGCCCACAGAAGATACAGGAGAGGCTGAAGGAGGGGCTTGGGGGGCAGGAATTATGGATCTTTTGTACTCCATCCACAAGAAGTAAGCTGATAGTCTAATGGGCATGATGGAAGATGAGATCTGACTTGGATACGCTATGATTATTTTTTTTAACCCAGCTAATAGCTGATTCCTTAAATCACACATTGATCGTCCAATAAACTTTCCAGTTCAATGATTTAACATTTAAAATAGGCAAAATTAACCCTAGTCCTTTGACTTTTTCCATTCTTTAGAGAAATGAATATAAAATTAATTACTATGCATCTAAAGCTGATATTTGCTTCCTAAACTCAGTACGGTACCTATGGTATGATAAGGCACGGTGAGAGTCTGTCCAAAATCCCAGGATCGAGTGTAGAGGTAAAGGCAGAGTGGCATCATTCCAACGGCAGTTATCGAGGAGCAAGTTGTCATGCTGATGCTGCAAGTAAAATAAAAATGATGCTCAGGAAGACAGGTTGGAAATTAAAACTCGGTCTTAAATTAACTTATTAACTACTCTCTTGTGGACTACGAGGAATAAATGACCTGACATTCTTCTAAACGTTACAAGTTGTGGACAGAAGGCTATAGTTGTGATCCAAAAAAGGTTTCCAGAAGTTGGACTCTGTTATTAAGCACCAGTCATTTATGGATAACTCATCATATGACTAGAACTGTGTTGTTGAGAGTACGAAAGTGGAGGACACGGTCTCTGCCCTCGAGGAGCTTAGAATTTAGTTAGAGGGCATACAACTAACACATGAAACAAATACTAAACAATATTATCCTAACTACCTATAAGAAGTACAGAGAAGGAAGAGATTCGCATTGGTTAGAGAAATCAAGTGAGGCTCCATGGGAGGAGATGGGCCCTGAGCTGGACTTTGAGTGTGGGTGGACAGAAACCAGAAGAAAGGGTATTCTATGTAGGAGAAATAACTGGTAAAGGGAGGTGGCTGGGAGAAAACATCAGATACTCAGGGGATAGTGATAAGATCAACTTGACTGAAGTAGAAGGTATGATTTGGGGTGTAAAGGGGGAAAAACGATTGATAGTTTACAGGGCATCAGACCATGGAGTATAAGTGACAATGAAATAGAAATATTTTGTGTATTCTTTTTTTTATTCATTTGTTTTGAGTTATCAACAATCACTTTCATAAGCTTTTGAGTTTTAAATTATATTTTGTGCATTCTTAAGCACTTCCACACCTCACACACATACACACCATGAGTAATGTCTTCACAAGTCATACCCCACCACCCCTGCCTTCTCAGAAGCAGCCTTAGGCCAGAGGCACAGAGGCAGGTGTCCCAAGGTTTCTATCTTCCTCTTACCACAAAATAGTGACTGCCCACAGGTGCCAAAATGGCTAGTTATGACTCTGGGAACAAGTCAGAGGAGACAAAAATCATTTTCTTTTTTAACTAAAGACTGGAAACCAATCGGATCTGTAATAATACCAGGCAAATTCGATAAACACGATTTGCCTGGATTCCAGAAAACCACTTGAGAAATGTTTTCACTTTGTACAAAATGAGGGGAGATATGAGGAGGATGATAGTACGTTTTAGGTGAATCTGGAATTGGCTGCACAGCTAGGCCCAAAGCGTTTGAATCAACAGATGAACATCAATCTGGAGAGATATCTACAATGGCATGATTCACAGCTGCTTTTTTGATGCTGTTCTTTTCAACACTGTTAACAGTGATTTGGGTGAATGAAGGCATACATAGACTGGAGTTATCTACCAAATTTTCATGAAATTGAAAATATGGCATGAAAGGGAAAACTAACAGTACATGATGGAGTTTGGAACAAGAAAGAAAGTTCCTGGCAAACTAGGAAGATAGACATAATCTAAAGTGACAAAATTGAATGGGGATAAATGTAAAATCCTTTGTGTTTAAAAAAAAATCAACTGGACAAGTACAGACTATAAGAAAAATTAGGGTTAGGATTCCAAGGCCAGCCTAGTACAACATGCTGTCTTTCATTATCATCATCATCATCATCATCATTGTTATTCACCTTCTCATATTTTTCAAAGGATTTCACAGAGAAACAATCCAGTAATAAGTCACTATATCCTACTGTGGCAAGAGCTCTCTCCTTACCCTGCCCCCATACAAATGAGGCTAGTTGGTCCTTAGAATGTATTAAGACCATCCTTAAGACACAGAAAGCAGCCACAAGGAGCTTCAGCATGTCTCTGATTTCTGGCTTATGGATCACAAAGAGAAACTCAAGCGAGGGATTTCACTCAGCTGAATCAACTCAAAATGTTCTCAACGTCCATCCCTGCTGAACACCCTTCTCTTACCAAAGTGATTTACCCCTTTTGTTTACTGAATGACCAATGACCACTGACCACCTAAACTCCCTGGGTACTGGCCTGAGTCAGGCCTAGACAAGAATACCCACTATTTTAAAAAAATATTTAATCTTCCATGGACTATTAGACCCATAGATAAAGTAACTGCTTTTTGTAATTGAATGAAAGTATTGAGGTTCACTGGCTCATCTTATGACACGAACTTAAAAGCATCTTTGGGACAACTCTAATAGCAGACCGGATGACGGATAATTTTCTATTCTCACATTTTTTTTTTCATTTTTTAAAATTTCAGCTAGACCTCTATTTTTAAAAAGTTTTTCATAGTAGTAGTTATTACTATTATTATTATTATTATTATTCCTCAAAGAGACAAATCACCCAATCACAGTATAATATAGCATAATGAAGTATAATAATAAATAAATATAATAAATAATAATAAATAAATAGTATAATAAAGGCCATATGATTGGATAGAGGGAAAGAGTAAGGAGGAAGGGATTCAGGGGAGCTCACTTTCCCAATGCATCCTAGAGTGCAAGTAATAGGGTTCTGTCTATGTATTCATGAACCTGACAAGACTATTTATCCTACCTTCCCCCCACAACCTCCATTTACTGGAAATTTTAAATTTCCAACTTCTATTTCCAATTTCTACCTTCTAGCAGGTCAAAGGAGCACAATTAGCATGGCCCCCAAAAGTCCCTTCCCTCTGTGGTTCAAAGAGCAAAATAAACTTACTGAATAGAAAGAATCAAGATTTGAGAGAGATATTGTATAGGCTTTCAATTAGATCAATTGCACAAAAATAACTACATGAGCATAATCTGAAATTTTCATAAAATCAATCATTTGAGCATTTCAAATTCTTTTTAAATCATTAAATTTAAGATTGGATGACCCCTGTGTAGTGCCTGCTGTTGTAAATATTAATATAGATAGAAAAACTATACAATGAACTTCTGTGAAGAGTGTGAGAAGTCAGAGATTACTTAATATCTCTGACAAGAAATTCCAGTATTGCATAAACATCAGAGAATGCAGCCAATCAGGTAGCTACATTGTTTAACCACAGTGGAATTTTTTGTTCAAAGCGACTCCAAAATAACAAGACTCCACATGTACTAGAAAAAGAGTCATGATTGTCCCCAAGCTATAAGCGGAAAATAATGGTACAGGGAAATTCAGCAACATTATGCTAAAATAGGGATATGAACTAAAATGAAAAGCCATGACCATCTTGGCACCAAAGGACAAATGATAAATAATATACTTTCCCACAGATTAAAGTCTCAGTATTTATAATACAATATAAGGAATGACCATGTAGCAAGTGTAACACTTTGAAGAATATTCATCGTACCCTTAATTGTTGTCAAAGAGCAACCATACTGAACTAAATCAGTAAAACATAATATTAGATGGTAACTAGTTAACTTAGACATGAGTTGTTCTTCTCACCCTGATAACCAGTGGTCATTGCCACATGACCACGTATGTCCATTAGGTTGACACGGCAAAAGCTCATTCACAATCTATCATTAGTAACTGATCAATCGTGCCACATTCAGACATCTGGCCAAATGGTGACTGCCTCTGGCCAACGTCCAAGGCTCGTCAGTGCAATCAGGACTTTGATTTATTAATTTTATAAGAACTCCAACCATTGGAAAAATCTTTTAGAACCCATCTGGTTCTTTTTTTTTTTTATAAGAGATAAAGTGGAGGGGTTTTTTGTTGTTGTTGTTTTTTTGTGTTTTTGTTTTTGTTTTTGTTGTTGGGTTTTTTTAATTTTTAATTTTTATTTTTTGCATATAACCAAACAATTGTCAATGCCTTTAACTACACTTTTGGCTTTCTCTTTCCTCATCTTTCCTTCTCACTCCCTCACAGAGGGTGCTCTTTTTCTCTTTCCATCTTTCTCACCTCAGTATCAGTAAATTCTCTCCACTCTTTCCAGTATTAAACCTATTGTCTATAAAAGAAAGGAGTAACCCATTCACATTGAGGTGCAAATGATAGCCGAGATCATAGATTTAGAGTTTAGGATCATAGATTTAGAGCTCTTGGGAACCTGGTCTAACTGCCTCGTTTTACAGATGAGGTCAAGTAAATTACCCACATAGAAAGAAAGTCTTAGTTTCTCCAAGTTATTAGTGCTTAATAGAAGGGAAAACTGGAAGAAGGTCTTTGGTTTAAGTACAAAAAACTGGAATTTCAGGATTTTTATGGTAGATTTGTAATTTCAGATGAAATAGCTATATGTATGCCAGGAACACAGTAGATATTCAACAAATGCTCAGTGATTAACAGTATTCAGCTACCATTTTGTAAGTGATCTGATTTTTTCTTGATCACAAACATTATTTATTCAGAAAAAAAAGAATTAATTTAGCAATGATTGACCTAATGCAGTAAAAGTCCAAACTAACAGAACATATAGGAGTACACAACTTGATATTCTTAGAACAAAACATTTAAAAAAAACTTTTTGAAGAACAGTGTATAAATTTGAAAATGTATTTTAGAAGTCCAAGATATTCTTCCCCCTCTCCAATTTTAACATTTTTATTTAAAGTTTTGAGTTCCAAATTCTATCCTTCCTTTCCTTCCCCCCTCCCTGAGATGGTAAGCAATCAGATACAGGTTGTACATGTGTAATCACGCAAAACATTTCCATATTAGTCATTTTGTACAAGAAGACTCGAATAAAAGAAAAGAAAGAAAGTGAAAAAATAGCGTGCTTCAGTCTGTATTCAATCAATATCAGTTCTTCTCTGGAAGCAGATAGTATGTTTCAACATTAGTCCTTTGGGATTGTCTTAGATCATTGCATTGTTGAGCATAGTTAAATTGTTCACAGTTCTTCATCGAACAAGATTGCTGTTACTGTGTACAATATTCTCTTGGTTTTGTTCACTTCACTATGCATCAGTTCATGTAATTTAGTACAAGATATTTATAAGTAAATGTTTATCTCTTATCCTGAAAACAGTTGCTTACAACCAATATTAAAAAAACCAAACTAACAAAAACCTAGAATGTTTGTCTTCATTTCAGGTCATTCTTTGGCCTAACAAAGTTTCTCTAACATGGAATAAGAATTACTGAAAGAGCATAGAAAATATGACTCAAGAACCATCACTTAACGTATGTAACTGAGATGTATGTAGCATTTAACTCCCCTATCCACTTAAAAAGCAAATGTGCAGAATGAAGTGGAGGGAAAACAAAATAATTCTATCAATAATGACAGCATTGTAAAGACAATTTTGGGAGACTTAACAATACCAATCAGTGAACTAGTCAACCATGATTCCAGAGGACCAGTGATGAAGCATGTCACCCACCTCCTGACAGAGAGGTGATGGATTGAGATGCATAAAGAGAAACATATTTTTGGATTTGACCAATGTGGGGATTTGTTTTGCTTGACTATGCATATTTGTTGCAAGGGTTTTATTTTTATTTTATTTTTTTTTTCCAGTTGATAGAGACAGGGAGAGGTGGGAAGGAAAGAAAACAAATGCTTGTTAACTTTAAAAAAAATTATAAAAAACAAAGCAAGTGAACCTCCTTTTCATCTTCACAGAATTGGGGGGAGGGCTCTGGGTGTGTGACATACTGCATGTATTATCAGACTTAGTTACTGTTGCTTAGTTTTGCTGACCTACTTTTTGTTCTCTTTCTTTTGTTTTATTACTTACAAGGAATGGCTCTCTAGGTAGAGAAGGGGGAGGGATATATTTTGAACTGAAAAATGTAAGAACAAAGATATTACTTAAAAACTTAGGTACAACTGAAAAAAAGAAAGTCATTGGGATGGCTCAAAGAATTTTTTTAGTTCCCCTGAATATATATAGATATATTAACTCAGACTAATTAAAATGAAAAATGAAATTTTCATTCCCTGATTCAACACTGGGAACCAGGAACCTATGTCTGTTTTACAAGAGAGCTAAGTCATTTCTAATGAGTGCCTGTTGACAATCCATTCCTCCCACCTGGCTCATGGTACTGAGATTCACTGGTCACCGAAATTCTTGAGCTGGACACTGTGGGCCCAGATAAAGTGAAGTTTTATTTCCACAACTTCACTTAATAACAGGTCAATAAAGTTTTATAACATGTGACTATGCTAGGAAAGGATATTTTGAGCCCTAATTCAAGCTTACAGCCTTGATGTTAGTACCTTCTCTCCTGAGCTGAACAAATCTCTGCAAAACTGTTACTGCAAATGTTCTCCTAGGGAACTTAATAGTCTAGCACATTTACATACTACTTGAAGGTATCCAAATTACTTTTTTCCCCAACACAGTTCTATTGAAATCAATAGTGCAGGAAATATTATCCCATCTCAGAGATGTTAGGAGACTGACCTATAGTCACATAGCTAATGAGTATTAGAACTAGTGGTGTCAAATTCAGGTAAAAATGGGGCCACTATTCTATATATTCTATCCTTGCTGGCTGCATATCGACTTAGTTTCAAAATGTATTATTATTTATGTTTTATTGTATTTTTACTTATTTTGTTAAATATTTTCCAATGGCACTTTAATCTGGTTCAGGCCCAAACTTGGGAGTGTTGCTGACCACATAAGGGCCACAGACAGCATGTCTGACTCCCACTGGTCTAAACCACCCCGTAAAGAAGATCAATACTCACAGGGTGGATGTGTTATTTTCTATGTAGAAACTAATCCTAATTCCCAGTTAAATAATTTGTATCAAAACACTACCAAGATGTGTGTAGCCTTACCTGAGGTCTATATCTCCATCAGCCCAGTAGGTGAAAAGGTTAGAGAACGTTCCACCAGGGCTGCAACCCATGATGAGAACTGTGACAGCTTGAACTGGTGGCAAAGAGAAGCTAATGGCCAAGAGGTAGGCTATGAGAGGCATCAGCCCATACTGGCATAGTAGACCCACAGCAATCCCCCAGGGTCTTCTGATATGTGACCGTAACTTCTTGATGTCCATAGTACAGCCCAGAGAAAACATCACCAGGATCATCATTACAGCCAAAACCACGGAGAAAATAAGCTTCAGGCTCCCATAATTGTCCAGACCTCTTTTTAACTCCTCCTCCGTCAAGTTGTAAGGGCATGCTAAGGTGCCAGAACAGTTTTCCATCCTGATCTTCTCATGAGTCTTAATTCAAAGTTTTATGAACAGGTTTGACTGATGGCCGAGCAAGTTCGTCCAACTGCATTTCAGAACACTGGATGAATAACCCAATAGCCAATCACGGAATGATATTCCTGTTAACTAATAGCTGGCAGTTGTAACACATAGAGTGTCATCTTGATCTGATCAATTTCTTCACAAATGGCATGATGAAAATAATCATAAACAGGTGGAAAAATAAAATGTAGGTTTGTGTTGAGTTCTCCCTCTCAAAAATAAGTGAAACATCACATGAGCAAAAGTGGTAAAAGAATAATTGTGTCACGGAGTGAGTTAGTCATGCTATTTGCATTGTACTGAGTGGTGTTCCTGGAAAAGCAGTCCAACCTCCTGTTCGTAATTCTGCCCACTTCTGAAGCCGTTCCAGAGAGAACAGGGTAATTTTTTTTCTTTCGGTATGGAAAACTAACTTTGGAAGTATGAGGAAAACCATGCCAAAACCACACCTAACAGCAACACCAGCATTTGGAAAATGAAGACTAGCATATGTTAATATGCCGTCAGAAATTGTGCTGGTTGGTTTTTCGGAACTGGTTTTTTTTTTCTCTTTCTTTTTAATCTTTGTTACAAGGTCAGGAAAGGGAGATAGTAATGAAGAAAACGTAAAAGCAAGATACCAATAAAACTAGGACTAATCCAACGGTGGAGATGAATATTAATTTCAAGATAGCTGAGTTTTTGAAATATCAGCCAAAGAGTCTTTTGGTTTTGTGTAACTTGGATTCCAGAATGTCATGAAAGAGAGCAACTAAAAAAAAATGGTTGGATACCTGCAGTAATTCATATTAAACACATAATGAAAGGTACATGATGTCACAAAATATGGGGGGATTTTTTTTTATTCAGACTAATGAAAAGGAAATTTCTCTCCTTTGTGGAATAAATCCTGTTTTGAGAAAACAATGACAGAATTGACAAATGAGCCACGGGAATCCGTAAGGAAATAATAATAATTAACGTCATTGATAATATCATTAAACTATAATAATTATTATTAACAGCATTTATGTAGCTTTAAGGTTTCTTTGACAAATATTATCTCATGTTATCCCACAACAACTCTGAGAGGCAGGTGATGTTCTTACTCTTATTTTACAAATGAGGCAACTGGAGCCCAGAAAGGTCTAGTGACTTGCCCAGAGTCACACAGTTAGTCAATGTCTGAGGCTAAATTTGAACTCACGTCTTTCTGACTCTATGTCTGGTGCCTAAGTCTAGAGACTTTGCTGAAATGTAATAAACACCTTCAATCAGGAATTTTGGAAACTTCTCAAATGACGGTTTCGCTCCAGGGATTTACATTAGTGTTGTAGCCAGGCACCTGTTTGAAAGCAGATCAGGAAAGATGTGGTGCTGTGAAACTCATCTTCCAAAAGCGGTCACCACACCCTTCCTCCTTGGAAGCAGTGTTCTGTGTTTATAGAACAGTTTGGCCACTAGGCAAACATGCCTTTTTATTAAGGACAACTCCTTGGAAAGGAGTTTTGGTTTTTAAGGGTCCTAGCCTCCTAGATTTGAAGCTGAAAGGAACCTCTCATCTAATTGTATTAGGGATTGACAAAGGCAGCCCCCTAATTTTACAGATGAGGAAACTGAGGCCCAGAAATCTTAAGTCTAACAATTATAACTGCTTCTGGGGCCAGGGAGGCTAGCTCACTGCACCCTATCCCCCTCCCCTCCCCTCCAGGTGTGCAGGAATGCACAAAGTCCAGTAGAGATTGCCCTAAGTACATGGATTGAGAGACCCAGGACCTCCTGACCTCTTAAACTCACAAGGTTGCCTCCAAATGTCCGTCCCAAGATCAGGGTTCAGTCACATTCAATCAAGCAAAGAAAACCAGAGGCATCCAGAGGCCAAGGCTCAAGCCCATCTAGCAGAGAGAATTCCACCGACCACCCTATGGCAGCAGAGGATGTGGGCTGGAGGAGAATGATTCCTCCCAGGGTTACACAACTCCCCCATGGGGTTAGGGGGGAGGGGGAAGGAAGAAAGGAGACAGGGGCTACAGCAAACTGTGGTTTATTTAATTTTATTTTTTTCAAAGAATGGAAAACTACATTCTCTCTCTCCCACCTTCTCCTCCACCCCCTATTTATTTTTCTTCTGAAAGAAAAACAAAATCCTTGCAACAAGTATGTATAATTGAGCACAACACATTCCATCCTTGGCCATCAAAATAAAACATCTCGGTGCACGCTGTGAGAGCATCACCTCTCTGTCAGGAGGTGAGTAACACGCTTCATCATGAATCCTCGGGAAGCGTGGTTGGTTTTTGCATTGATCAGAGTTCCTAAGCATTTAAAAATTGTTTATCATTATAATGTTATTAATAAATCATAATAATAGCTAGCATTTATACACCACTTAAAGATTTGCAAAGCCTGCTCATCAAATCCCAGAATATAAGAATAAGTTAAAAGGAAACTCAGGGACACTTTAGTCCAACCCCTTAATTTTACAAATGGAAAAAGTGAGACCTAGGGACGTGAAGTAATTTGCCCAATGTCACCAATTTAATCCAACCCCTCTCAATTTACAAATGAAAAATGGAGGCCTAAGGATGGGAAATGACTTTCCCAAGGTCACATGATCAGTAAGTGTCAACGATAAAATTGCCACGTGGGCCCCCTGACTCTGAGCTGACCAGGCCGGTGGAAAAGCGGATGGAGGGCCGGACGATCCACCTCTGGCTTCTGCCTCACGCACTTCCCAGCTGTGCCATCACAGCAAGTCCTCAGCTTCCTCACCCGTATGACGGAGGATAGTAAGAATCTGTGGACCAGCAGACCCGGGATGCCTTGGAGCAGAGTGTCCAGCTGGCCATTGAAATCACCCCCAATCCCCAAGAAGCTGCGGCCAAACATGGGGCTCAGAGACTGGAGCAGGAGGCAGACCTTGGACCGAGCAGAAGCTGAGAGAGCTCAAAAGCAGCTGCTCCTAGCTGGAGGGGAGAGAACTTGGGGTGCTAAGGCAGAGCTGGAACCCCCAGCCAAGGCCACTCTGGTTGAGGGAGAAGGAGCCAGTCTCCAGGCCAAGCTGAGCCACAGAAATGGAGGCGGAGTCACTAGTTAGGGGGCAGAAAGCCCAGGATCAGGAGCTCACCTACTCCAGAGCCCAAATGGAGCTGCAATTGGAGCTGAATAAGGTGGAGAAAATGGCAGCAGTGAGGTTATGAAGTTCAAGGAGATGACAGAGGCCTGGGTTCTGGATCTGGCACTACCTGGAACCTTGCATTGCCTGGACCTGATCTCAAAAACAAATAAATAAAACCACGATCTCATTTAATCCTCACAACAATCCTGAGAAGAAGATATTTTTATTTTCCCCATTTTAGATTTGAGGAAACAGGGGTTAAGTGACTTGCCCAGGGTCACGCAGATAGTGAGTGTCTGAGGCCAGATTTTAACTCAGGTCTTTCTATCTCCAGCCCACAATTCTCTCCCATGTGCCATCTTGAGAGTCTGTTAACTAGTCAGTCAATAAACTTTCTTTAAGCACCTAGGTAACACACCTTAGTACACGTTAGGCATTGTGCTAAGTGTTCAGGATACAAAAAAAGGCTAAAGCCAATTAATGAGGGTGGCAACATGTGAACAACTATACACAAACTAACTGCATGCAGAAATAAATTGGAAATGACCACCAGAGGGGAGGCCCTGGAATGGAGGAGGATCAGGAAAGCCTTCCTGTAGGCGGAGCTTTAGCTGGACTTGAAGGAATACGAGGAAGCCAGGAGTACAGATGAAGAGGAAACATTCCAGGGATGGAGAATAGCCAGGAAAAATGTCAGAAGTTGGAAGATGGAGAGTCTTGTTTGAAGATGGCAGGAAGCCAGTGCCATTGGAATTCAAAGTATTCAAGGGAGGGTGTAAGAAGCCTGAAAATGTCGGGGCAAACTCCAGAGGGTTTTATATTTGATGCTGGAGGTGATAGGGTACCACTGGAGCTTATTGGGGGAGAGGGGAAGTGACATGGTCAGACCTGCACTTGAGAAAGATCACTTGGACAGTGGAATTGGGAGGGGAGAAATTCATGGCAGCAAGATGGATCTGAAGGCTATTGTGATAGTTCAGGTATGAGGTCATGAGGGCCTACACCAGGCTGGTGGCAATGTCAGAAGGAAAGGGGACATATCTGAGAGACGTTACAAAGTTAAAATCGATAAGTCTTGGTAACAGATTGGATGTTGTGGGGAAGGGTAAGAGAGAGTGAGGAGTCAAGTGTGTGAGAGGCATGACAATCTCTCTCTTATATTAATCACCGATTATTGAATTAGGACTAAGGTTTTTCCCCTTTTCTACTTTCTCATTCAGAAATCAGGCCTTATAGTTTAGGCAGGCAGCATTTGAAGTGCAGGACTGATCATGAGAGGGAAAACTCAGATCTGTTCAAAAGGTAAAGAAAGTTTAGTTTAGGTGAATTAATGGATTCTGGCCCATTGTGTTTTACTCTGACAAGTCTGGGAAGAAGTGGATTCTCCCTTTTGTCTACTGCTGCTGTTTATCTTTTGTTCTCAAAGAGGACCAGACATCAGGGAGGCGATGGCACGACACGCAAGTGAATTGGGTTTAAGGCTGTGCAAAGGCACCAGCCTCACTTTCTCCTCTGGAGCCATCTGGGCCCAGTGGCTAGATATGGATCAGGATGACTAGAGATGGCCCAGGATGCAGTTGGGGACCTTGGTTTTTCAAGTAAGGTCTTTAACAGGTCTCAGTTTGACTGAGGCAGTGCCCATTCAGTGATTAAGGCTTAATAAAAAGGGAGGCAGGGGACAGCTGGAGAGAGCACTAGCCCTGGAGTCAGGAGGACCTGAGTTCAAATCTGGCCTCAGACACTTGACACTTAACTAGCTGTGTGACCCTGGGCAAGTCACTTAACCCCATTTCTTAGCCCCCCCCAAAAAAAAGTGAGGCAAAGAATGGCCTCTTTAAAAAAAAATAGATCCAGGAGGAGAAGACACTCAGGGTTCCTGGCAAAAACAGAAACAATTGTTATTTACATTCATTCTGAGCTAATCAGGACCCAAACAGTGACATAGGGGTATAGATAAATCTCTTTGATCAAAACTGAATGATCAGAGTCACATCCCCCAACACCTTATCAGAATAGGTCCCCCTCTCATTATAATATTCATTCTCTCATTACTTGTTAACCAATCAGAGTCAATTGCCACCCTCAGGAACACCCACTCATTCAAGGGCATATAAGCATTGAGTGGATTCCATGAGGGGTCTTTGGTATTTGAGAGTGCCACTGACCCCTTTTA